TTAAGATATTATATAGGATAAAGATTTAAGCTGTCTTCTGGTACTAAATCAAAGCTATAATAGGTTTGCTGTTCTCCAGGAAATTTGGCCATTATTTGGTCATTTAATTCATCAACATCGCAATTTAAAGGAGTAAGTATTGCACGTTCTGTTATAAACAAACTATTTGTAGCATTTTCTGAGAGATTATAATACACAGCATTTGTCAGTATAGTAATGGAATCATTATCATTTTGTGGATGAATAACAATTTCATCAGGAATGCGAATCAAATTATTCTCAATTGTCGGTTCTGTGCCATTACCAATTCTAAGTAGGTATTCTGCAAATTCTTTTGGCTTATAAGAAGCATTTTGAGCGACTTGCATATTAGTCGTTAGAGAAAAGACGCAAACATGTTGCCATATATGAGATTTATTAAGAGCAGCATTTACAATTTGTGCCCTAGAACCTTTACGAACTACAGGAAGAATCTGTCAAAAATCGCCGCCAAACAAAATCACTTTGCCACCAAAGGGAAAGTCATTATTCATAATGTCCTTCAAAGTTTTGTTGACAGCTTTAGGAGCATAGTGACGTACCATAGGGGTCTCATCCCAGATAATTAATGCTGTTTGATAAAGCAAATTTGCTAAATCACTTCCTTTTTCGATATTGCAGGTGGCATTTTCATCCAACATTACAATTGGAATTTTAAAGCACGAATGTGTAGTATGCCCACCTCGTAATAATAGTGCAGCAATTTCAGAGGATGCTACAGCTAAAGCAACTTGATTGTTGGCATGTACATGTGTAAGAAGACAATCATAAAGGTAGGTTTTACTACTTCTGGCTGGTCCGTCAACAAATAGCACACCACTTTTGCGATGCTCTATAAGACTAAATGTTTCGTCGAATATAGTATGTTGTGCTTTATTTAATGTGTTTGCTTTATTAAGGTCAGCTATAATAAAGTTATAAGAAAGCTCTTCAATAAGTACAGTAGACAATTCAGTTTCAATGATCTCATGAAGCAAATCCGGTAAGTCAAATTCGGTAACAGTTTTTAAATGCCTTTGCAATAATATGTTCAAGCTTTGGAGTGTTGTCTGAATCAAGGGTTGACCATTTGGAATACCCCTGTGTACAAAATCTTCTAACATCGCATCAAAGTTTTCATTCCACAATTGGCGCACATCAGCAATGTCACCGAAAATCAAAAGCATTACAAAAAAGAGCTCGTAGTTAACTTGGCATCTGAAATTCTCTCGCCTCAAGCATGCATTGTCTGTGGGCATCATCATTTTCAAGAAATCCTCTATGCAGTGCACTTTTCTTAAAAGTTGAACATACAGTACCATTTACAAATTTGAGGTCATCAAATCCTGTAGCGCCTTTGACTTTTGTCAATAATAATCATAAATAATATCGTTTACCTGGGTACATTAGTTGGACATCTATATTAATAATTGTACTTATACTTTTTCGTTATAATTGGTAAGTGAAACATTTATCAAGAAGACAATATATATATTTCATATGATAATAGTTTTATTATGTTATCATTTTAGAAAAACTTA